ATTTTGGGATATTTTATGAGTAAACGTTGAACTAAACTTCCCTTTTACTTTAACTTCCCTTTAAAGAAACTTTTAAGAACAATACTTGTACAATTGTATAACCATATTGATGAACATTGTACACTCGCATTTATCCCATGACACGTTTGACAGTCGATACGACATTACTCGTCTGAATGTTGCCTAATATTAAACAATAGTAGATATTTGACTACCGTCAACGGTACATTTTACTTCGAGGACTATTCAATTCTACCATAATTATATAATGCGTATACATAGTTAAATAATTAATTCTTACTTGAAAAATCAAAAATAAATCCGCAATGTACATCATCATACATACATCATGTTAGTGCAATAATTGTTAATACACAAAAGACTGCTAATATTTAAAGCTTGATGAATTTTAAAAAAACTATAAAACATTTAAAACTAGAATTTATTAATTTTTGATAAAATGAGGGGTTTACAGAAATTTCTATGAGGGATACAGCCCCCGCATAATAAGGTACATTTTTTTATTTGTTTATTTATTTTTTTTAACAATAAATGGGTGAAAACCTTAAACAATGTAATGTGATAGTATAATACAGATAATACCTAATTGGTGACACACTTTATAAATGTATACATATAAAAATATATTAAACTAAGGGTCATACCAAAATATTAAGATAAATAATAATGAATAGAATAACTACTATTTTATTGAGGGTAGTTAAAATGATAGGAACATAAAAGTGTAATGATATTTTACTTAATAATATAAATTAGATACCAAGTAAATATTAATAACTAGCAATCATTTATTTATTAATCAATTTATTTAATATTTTAGTTATATCTTTTATCCGCATTATTTTTCTAAATAATTTACTATTGGTAGTTTTTTAATCAATTAACATGTTCCATGGAAAGTAATTATGTAAAGTAATTTATATAGAAATATTATTTTATGGATCCATGACCTTGAATTTTGTTTGTGATTTATTGAAAACAGATTTTAATACTTATACAAAAAATTTCAAAGTGTCTTCTGAACTACTTTTTTTTTTATAGCCAATATTTTATTTATAACATTTTTAAAAAAAATGAATATTACCTAGGTAATTTAAAAATATAAATTGTTTATGAAAATGTTATGTTAGTATTAACTTTGAAACTAGTAATTGGTTTAATATTTTTTATACTAATTTCAGTAATTATATTTTGACTCAATAATGTCGGGGTATAATGATTATGAAAATTGGCCGCAAGAATCAACTTCAAATACAGATGAAGAAGAATTGTCGTCTCCTGAAATTGAACAGGATGATAGTGACGACGATTCTGAAACATCAACATCTAGCACGAGTACATCTGTATCCAGTAGTAGTGGTAGTAGTCAGTCAGGCTCTGATTCTAAAAGTACTAGTACTGCAGATGAAGACGAAACTATATCACTCAAAAGTGAAACTGTAGTGGCAAATAAAACTGAGCTTAGTTTACCTGTTGGAATGTGCGAAGATGAAGAAGTTTTCAAGCAACTTTTTTCTGTTAATTCTTGGGTATGCTTAAGTGACCAACAAAAGCAACATTTAAAGGTATAATTGTGTAACAGAAACTCACCTTTATACAAATAAAACTTATAAAAAATGAAATTAAGTGTAAAACATACTAACATTTTTTTTTTTTTTTTTTTTGTAGAATTTACTTCCAACTTTTCCTGAAAATGATTTAATGGAAAAAGAAATCACTTTAAGAATGCTTTTTGGTGGTCAAAGTTTTCGATTTGGAGTTAATCCAATTGATGATTTTCATGACAAATTAAAAAATGGATATTATCGTCCTGATATTGTTAAAATGAAATCTTTGTTCAGACGTACTCTCAAACAAAAATATAGGTATGGATTATTTAAAGAAATATTTTTTAATTTCTGTTAATGTACTTAATTAGTGTTATTAATTGATGTTCCAGAAAAAATCAACGTATTAACCGTTTTAATACATTAAAAAAATTACTCTCTGAAGGAATAGATTTGTCTAAAATTGCTTTGCCTATGAGTAATCATTTTGATCCAACTGAAGATATGTATAGAGAAATGTTGTTATCTTATAAGATAAAACAGAAGAAAATTGAACAAGTATATTTTTTAAAACAATTTAATATTTATGACAGGTATAATATTTTTACTTATTTTTTTTTTTTTAAGGAAAAAGAACAAATAAGACTTGACCTAATGAAAGAACAGATAAAACCAGCTGTTTCATTGGGAAATGAGAAAAAGAGGTCAGCAACTAGCGATCGGTCTCGAGTGAAACGAACAAAGGTTAGTAAACAATCAGCACAATCATCTTCATCTTCATCTTCACAATTAGATGTAAAATTTCCTGTGTAGTTGGATGGATTTGATAATATTACAGTAAAATAAGAATCAGTTGAATCAGAACCAATTAGTATTCCATTGATTAAAAAAGAAGTATTTCATGAGCCATCTCCAACTACACCAACATCACCACCACCGCCACCACCACCACCACCACCACCAATATCACCATCATTACCATCACCACCACCTTCAACACCTATACTTGATTTGATTCAAGAAGAATCAATTAAAACCAATTTAGATTCCATAAAATTAGAACCAAAATTAATTATAACTGATATTGTTTAGACGGAAGAAGAAATAGTACAAGAGAGGCAAATTGAAGTTGAACCTATCAGTTTAACGGCTGATGAAATACTTATGGCAGAAGAAGGTCAGGCTGCTGCAGCGATGTTGTTAGAGATAATGAGTGATGTGGAAGAGAAGTATAATAATTCACCATAAATATTGTCATCACCTTCATCTACACCTCCACCATCTGAAAACAATTTAGAGTCCAAGTACAGTCCACCTACTTATCACAATAGTTATAATATAAAATATTATATTAATAACTTATTAATTTATAATTTAGTACGTTATATTGTATTCTGTTAAGAAATTATATCAAAAATTATATTTAATTATATTTGGAAAAATCATTATTTATTTTACACGATTTCTGTTAGCTGTTATTATTAATATTGTAATGTACCAGTTATAATAATAATACATAGTACATTATTATTAAATCATGTAACTGCTATTCTCCATTACTACACCGTTGTATTTTAAATTCTGAGTGAAATGTGGAATGTATTGGCTTAAATATGATGTGTTTTATTTTGTGTACACAATTTCAACCAAAATGATAATCACAATTATTAAAGATTTTATATAGAAAATGTCGTCTAGTTGGTATGTTGAAGAGGTTGATTACATAATTTCTCAACAGTTTTTAATAATTGAGAAATACTGACGATAAGTTATAAAAAAAGGCAACATTTATGTACGGTATATTTGACAAAATAAAATATAGGTACGTATATTATTTTTCTTCGTAACTGGAAAAATAATAATCGTAAATCGTTTTGGTTTAAAAAATTATCTTGAGAATTTAACAAACATTTTTTCAAATATATTTATCACTACTTAATGAAAAAAAAAAAATTGAAATTATTTTCAAAAACAATTTTATGAGCCCCATGCATACTACGCACATTCACCACAGTAGATTCGACCCAAGTTCACTGGCCATGGTTTCACTCAAGGGCTTGACCTTGCCATCAGTACTAAGATTCGTGAAATACATTTTCATTTTAACTTTGCACCAATTGTAAAATTAAGCAGGTAGCATATATGCAAATGATCGAAATACAGGAGACTGTTTCGCACGTTCTATGACAACATTTGCAATAGGTTTATGCACATGATGCAGAAATAAAGTACTGGGAGGTAACATAATGGGTTACAGTTCGGGATTGTATCAACTGAAATTTTAGTCATGGACATTATACGAAAATTGAAAGGTTAAATATTTTAGAATTAAACTGACAAGACAATTTTTAAAAAATGTTAACTTTGATAAGCAACATACGTTATCAGAAGAATAAATTTGGGAAAAAAAATAGGTATATTATACCAATTTTTTTTTGTTAAATATCTTACGTTTTTTAATAAATATTTTAGCAAAAATAAGAACATAAATATTTACATATTTTGACTTTATCATTACATAAAAATCTGCACCCTACTTATAATAACATTTTAATGATTTAAATTATATAGATAAACATTGATGTAAAGGAAACTTTTTAGTTGGGTCCCGAGATATTTGATTGCTTAAAAAAGCACGATTTGGGTCCGCGGTTCTATAATAATACTCAAATTGGGTCCATGGTCACATTTGATACTACGTGAATTGGGTCCACGGTAGGCGCGGATCCAGCCTACCATAACGGGAGGGGCGGATTATAAATAAGTATACTCTATGAGTTGGCTGGGGCTGGCCGGCTGACGGTTGTCGTCGATCATACGGTCACAATAATATTGTTTTTA